GGTCATGGTATGGTTATGCAGATACAAACATGGATTCCATGATTTACAATGATTTTTAACATGGCGTCATGAGCCATCTCCACTCATTGTTTCAAACCAACAATGTAGGCAAAAGACCCTGTATAAGAAGATTACTTCAGATATTTTCTGAAGCTGCTGGTAGCCAACTAATAGCAAGCAATTGTTTCATGCATGAAACAATTGCTTGCTATTAGTTGGCTACCAGCAGCTTCAGAAAATGTCTGAAGTAATCTGCTTATACAGGTTCTTTTGCCTACATTGTTGGTTTGAAACAATGAGTGGAGATGGCTCAAGAAAATAGGAGCGCATCCATCAAAAGAAATAACGAAGTCAATAGATTTAGTGTCCATATAATGCATCTCCACTGTAGGTGGTATGTTTATGTGTGTTGTAAAGCTGATTTCTCTCCTCTGGAAGCTGAAAAGTGACTGGGTCCAGTACAGGTAGTCCTCGAGTTGCGGCCACAATTTAGCCCAAAATTTATGTTGCTAAGTGAAATGTTTGTTAAGTGAGTTTTGCCCCATTTCACAATCTTTCTTGCCAGTGAAATCACTGAAATTATTAAGTTATTAAGTTATTAAGTGAATCACTGAAATTATTAAGTTAGTAACATTGTTGTTAAGTGAATCTGGCTTCCCTATTGACTTTGTTTGTCAGATGGTCGCAAAAGCTGAACACATGACCCCAGGACATTGCAACCGTCATAAACATGAACCAGTTGCCAAGAATCTCAATTTTGACCCCGTGACCATGGGGATGCTGCGTCAGTCGTAAGTGTGAAAAATGGTCATAAGTCACTTTTTTCAATGCCGTTGTAACTTTGAATGGTCACTAAATGAACTGTTCTAAGTAGAGGACTACCTGTACTGATGATCACTGACACAAATTAAGAATGACTCATGCCCTTTACTAGATGACTCAAACCTTTCACAAAACTGTCTTTTCCTGATAGAAAATTTGATGTCCATTAGAAGAAATGAGCTATTTCAGCAACAATGGTGAACAAGGGACTCAGCAAACTGGAACACAGTATCTAGCCTTGAAGTGAGACTCAAACCAGTCATTTCAGCCTTTCTTTGTCCTACATCATCTCAGCCATTACAGTTCTGCTCATTAGTATCCCTCATTGTTTCCCAGGTCTTCCCCCTCTCAATTTCTAAAACTATCTTCCAAAATGGGTGCCCAAAAGAGCTGAGTTGTATGGTGCATTTGGAGACTGGATGAAGGCATAACAAAGGCTGAGTCTGTTATATCTCAGGATATACTGTGCTGTTCCAATCCTTCAGCCAGCAGAAACTTCTATAATTTGTCTCTCTAACATCACACTAAGAGAGAAGATTGGGGGCTCCAGATGGGGGAATGAATACACTTCAAAAGAATGGAGAAGGGAGAAGAGTGGGTAATATTTTGGAATGTGTAACATCTGTGGAAACTGTGGCACTGTCAGGAAAAAAAAATGCAAGCAGCAGAAGATGGGAAGCAGAGCTGGCTGAAAAGACTGCATGTGAGAACGGCACAAAAAAGACAGTGAACTCGAAAGGCAGTTAAAGCATTAAAAAAAATCCACAGGAAAAGTGTATGTATTTACTTGGTATAAAGGGGTTTCCACATGGAAAGGGGGCTGTAGTGCTTCTATGCCATCAAGCATGCTCTCTGCAAATCAGAGTGGGCAAAGGAGGAGGCAAAAGAGAGGTCTTTAAAAATGGAAATACGCTAGCAACACCTCCCTCTTTGGAACAACTCAGAATCATTCACACTCATTGCGGTCCTGGCTCACCTGCGCCAATCCTTGGCATATAGTCTTAAGAAGGTGGAGTTCTTGCTGCCTTCCCAGACACAGGAGCAGCCAATCATATTTCTCTGCCTGCGGGTTGAAAGTGGATCCATTCATGACCACCTTGAAGCTCTACGCCAGGACTCCCAAATAAAAGGAAAAACGGGAATTTGCTTCCACTCCCCAGCCCCCTCCGGCGCCAAAAGTGGGGAAAGATTCAATGCCACCATCATTATTGTCATCACTGTAGTCATGATCATTACATGGAAAGTGGGAAACTGCTGAAGATTTCTGCCTCTTCGTAATATACACGGGGTCTGCATTGACCCAGCACAGCAGGAAACTTATAATTAAATTGACCTTCTGTGCAGCAGGGGACTAACCTACTCTCTTAAGAGTGCTAAACCCATTTATAGCAAAAGCCTGTGTAACACCCAACAAGCACTTTAAAAAGATGTTACACAGTTAGATACCTCTGATTGAAGCCAGGAATTCAATCTTAGTTCTTCCCCGCAACCCAAGTCAAAATTACCACGGTGGGCAGTGCCCAAGAACTGTCGGAGAGGGAGCATGCTTGCAACAGGAGAGAGGTAGTGGTTTGTGGAACCAGTGCTTTAGCATTATGCTTTTTAATGCATCCCCATCAGATGCAGATAAACAGCAGTTTCTGAATAAAGAGGTCAGTTAACAAGGCCTTCCAAAAGAAAGAAAAGGTGTAGTTTTTTCAACTAATGTTAAACTGAATAATAACAAGATTTTTATTATTAGGTAGTGTTAACACAATATCCAGCTAGGGGACAGAAGAAGGCAGAGGTCCACTGCAGAGAACTCAAATATCTAAGAGGTTAAATGAAAAAGAGAGCCTGAAGGACAGAAGTCAATGAGAAAAAAGGCATTTAAATCATATACATAGAGGTTCAAATGGGGGCAAAGAAACACAAGCAATAGTGGTATCTAGCACTATCTCTCAGGGAGCACAGCTGAGCCAGATGGAGAAGGTTTGGAAACAAATACAAATGAATGGTGGAGGTTAAAGTCAATATGGACATGAATTAGAGGTAGTGCAATTTCATAGCTGTGAGGGAGGAGATTCCATCAGGACAGATGAAGTTCAATGCTGAGCAAGGGAAAGACCAGAAATCAGATAATTGATACAACAGAAAAACTCCTAGCTTATGGCAGGCCTATCAGAACAAACATTAAGTTATAATCTGGGAAGATACGATGTTTGATCAATGAGATTCAAGGTAAAATAATAAGAGTCAATCTCCAATTTGGGATCCTCAAGATACGTTGGATTACACCTTTCCAAAGTCTCAATCATAACTAGACTGAAAACTGGAACTGGATAATTCTAGCATCTTGGAAGATCTAGTCCATCACATTAGGAGAGCACCAGGTAAGGCTGATGTAGAAGAAAAGCCATGTTTATCGAAAAGAGATATCCTAGTTTAGAATATCTCGAGGTCCGAGTTCTGTGGGTGCTTTCAGTGCAAGCGAGTGCCTCCCCCACAGCGAGTAGTGCTAGAGATCAGCAGAAAAGGGGACAAGACAAAGCTGATAGGAACAAGCTGTCCCCCCTGCTAGTTGATTCAAGGCTCTGAGCTGGGCTTAACTAGATACCCACTGAAGGTGACGTAGGTGTCATATTCATCACTGAACACAGCATTGTCACGTTCACCCTTGAAGAGCCGTATCCAGATTTCATCCTGGTCCTGCAGCTCTATCATGAGGCTCTGGCTCTGCATGATGCTTCGGTCACTAGCCTGTGCATATAAGATGGCTGCTTCCTTTGTGTTGTGCATGATGTGAAGGTAAGTCTCCTTCTGGTTCCAAGTATGCACGTTGAGATTGAAGAAATATACGCCTGGGACGTAGCAGTAGAACTTGCCCATAAACATATTGAAATGGCCATAGAGGTTCACAAATTCAGTGTCAAAGACGAGTATCTGGTAATAGTCGTTGCTATGCAAGGGTTTCCGCCGACCCACCGAAAAGGCAGCATAGTTGGTCTTGCAGCTCTCTCCTGGTGATCCCATGTTGCCCTTTTGACCCTTGAAGCCCGTCTCACCCTTCTTGCCTGCTGCACCGGCTTTTCCCACCTTTCCTTGGAAGCCACGATCACCACGGTCCCCTTTCTCACCTGAGAAATAAAGATGTCATGATAGATTGCAGTTTTCTCCAGCTGGTCTGCCTCCCTCCCCGGAGATGTGTGGGAGGTTTACCCTGGCTGAGGATTAAGGGTACTAATGTCCAATCCATCTGGAGGGAAGCAATTGGTGAAGGTATACTTTAGGAACAATTGAAGAGAGATAACTGCAAGGATAGTTGTAGTTTATAGGACCACCAAAGTAAGAGAACAGATCTCATAAAGTACAATGACTTTCTGGCTTCAAACCAGACAGCAGAAAATGCCCTTAATGTGGAAAGTATCCAAAATGCTTTGGGCAACAAATATTGATCTGAATCCTATTTTTTTTCTTGTCACTTTACAATTTCTTCTTCACTATTTACATCTTATTTCTATTACTGTGATAAAAAAAAGGATGGCTGATTTCTTGGCTAAACATCTATTTATACATTTTAATACAACGGGGAGATAAATAAAGAATCCATGCATCCCCCTCGTGGCAGAAAACCTTGAACTGAAATGGCGCCAGTCAGTCCATTGCTATTCCTTGCTGGCTTACCATTTAATAAAACTATATACCATCTCCAATCTTGTGGCAGGGAAAAACCACTACATACGGTGTCCTTCCTGGCCTAAATTTCAGACACATACATATGTGGTAAAATACTTTCTCTTGCATAAATGAAAGTATGTCTGCTCTGCAAAGTTATCAAACTGATGAGTATTTTTTTCTATATTAAATAGACTTGCCCCTGAATTTTATGCTAAATCAGTTTAAATATTAAATATGGAGCAGTAGTTTCTGTTTTATTCATTAGATAAAATGTATAACATACTCATGTAATCTGAATATGTATCTATATAAATAAAAATGTAAATGTTCGTTTGTTCAAAATCTTAAATCTCCGAAAGTTCTTCACCGATTGCTTTGAAATTTTGACACAACGTTCCATTCGAATACGCGTGTGTTTTTATATACCTACTATTATATAGATGTCACACCTGTGTCAGGTAAAAACATGCTTTTTTTGAAAAACAGCGCCATCTGTTGGACGTAAAAGCAACACACGCTGATATGCCATTTCAATTTAAGAGATTGCAATTCCCAATTCGATTGGCGTTTGCAATCACCATCAACAAAGCTCAGGGCCAATCTTTAGAATTGTGCGGTTTAGATCTAGACACGGATTGCTTATCACATGGACAATTATATGTTGCGTGTTCTAGAGTCGGCAAACCAGACAGTCTCTATATCTGCACAGACAATGGAACAACAAAAAATATTGTATACCCACAAGCATTGTGAAATTAAACATATTACAAACGTGCACTTTCTCTTTTTTTTCTTTTCCATTTAACCAGACTGAGCCACAGCAACGCGTGGCCGGGTACAGCTATCTGAAAATAAATGTTCAAAAAAAGGTGAAAGTTTTCAGTTTTGAATCTAGAATGGTCAAAAGACTTGGACTGGAAGAAAATGGAGAACTGTACAATGAATATACATTATACTTATAGAGTAACTCAGGTGAAGAACCTCTGGCTCATAGGCCAGATGCAGACTGCAGAGTCTCCCCATATGATTTGGTTGGCCTCTCTCCACTACTCCCCAGTCCTGCTAGGAGCACTTATATTTGATTTCAACTGAATGCTTTTCCCAAATGAATCTGCAGTCAGCAGGGAAGAATAACTGCAGTGGCCAAGGGGCTGGAATTGTGTTATGCATATATGAATGTTATAAACAATATGTGCATCCCCGTGTGAGAGAACAAAAAAGTTGGACTGGAAAACCTTCCATTAATTCAGTTTAAAGATTTTATCAAACTTACTTGCACAGCAAGGGGGTGGGGGCATAGATTTATGTGGACAAAGGTATGGACATACACATAGTTATTAAGCCAGGCTTAACCCAGTCCTTAAATAAAATAGCTAATTTTCAGTCTTGCTTAGCCTACTTTTATAGGCTTGTTTTATTTTTATAATAGTGGACGCCTACTATGTATGCTGCTTTGAGACCCTGGAGGAGTAGCATGATATAAATTGAAAAGTAAGTAGAGGAAATACAAATATCAGTTACTGGTAGAAGATAGAAGAGAAACTGTGTGTAGGATGGAATGTGAGTAAAAGGTTGGTGGGGCTATGAAAGAGTGTGGGCACAAAGGTTTCTGCCTATGGCCACTGTTGCCCAACCCAACATTGGTTTCTGGGGTTTATTTTTCCTTTGAAATCCCAGGATTCAGGCAGCCCCGGGGCCTTTTCTGATGACACAACCTCTCCACCCTCTAAATCAGTCCATGTCCTAATGCAACCTCTGGTGTCCTAAGTCTGACTCAAGACTAATTGTCGGATTCCTTTGGTCTCCGTTAAGGAAGGAACTTGGATAAAATTGCCATAACAGTTCCTTCCAGCCAAGGAATTTATTTAACCCCACAACTTCTCTCTAACCTAACTGTCTAGATTCTGCAAAACCCAAAGGTTTGTCCAAAGACAGCCTCTCCACACTGTGGTTAAAACTTAGGAGGGATAGGACTCCAAAAGCTAATTCTCCATGGCTTCTGGAAGCCTATCCCATTTCTGTTCCAAACTGGCAGCTAAATGGCTTGGGTCAGATGGGCAGGGATTTCAAAGCATGATCTGAGCTGCCGATGCCAACTAATAAGTTGTGATTCTGTCCCTTATGAAATGATGGAACTTAGAAATGTTAGGGCATATCCTAGAGCTCTCTGAAATTTATGCACTTTGAAATTCCCTCATGAATTAAGAGATGAGGCAGCTGCAATATTGTTAGCTTATTCGCCCTCTGGCTGCGCACTATGCTCCCTCCCCATCTGCTTCCATAGGCAGAACTGATGTAATAATCTAAGACAGAATGGAGGGAGGCCACCCTATGGATGGAACAGATTCTGAAAACCAGGTGAAAATGGATGGAGAAACCCTGGCTGTCTTACCCCCTGATGTGAAGGATTTACAAGTATAGAACTGATTTTAACACGAGGCATTTTATGTCCGCTTCTCTCCTCTGTTCCAAAGTTGATCAAACAGCTGTGTTCATTACCTCAAAATGTAATGCTGCTGCTGAGTTAAATATCTTAAAGGGGATTCAGCAAATTAATGGGGATGCGGCTATCCATGCCTACTAGTCATGATAGCTCTATTACCTCCCTGATCAGAGCAGCTTCTCAATCCTGCAAAAACCAACTGCTGGAGAACAGAAGTGGGGAAATCTCATTTGTGTATGAATCAAAAATATTGGATAGGAACAGAGTCCCAGCTCAATATGCCTTACTTAGATCCAGTACAGCTATATTTATGTTCTCATTTCTCTGAGCCGGTGTTTTAACTTCTCATAACGCTCCAGGGCAATGTTATGCTGGGGACATTGTAGGAAATGTAAATGCTGTTCCCTCAGGCTGCCCCAACCAACTCACCACACAGCCTTGGGACAAATCTACACAACTGCCTTATACCCGGGTGAGGAGAGCCTACTAACTACTTCCAGAGGGCATGTCCACATGCCCCTCTTGTATCTCACCATTCACAGGAGGCGGCTCAAATGTGCTTTTCAGTGCTTTGTTCTGGTGTTTTTCTCTTATTCTGTCTCCAGATGCTGTGTGTGGAAAATAAAGGGAATACGGATGCACATGGGGGAGGCAGCCTGAAATTAGGTATCCTGTATTGACAAAATGGAGACTCAAGTTGGTTCTGCTGGCTTCCTATCCATGATGATTTCTTCTACCCCTCAATCTTCTTTCGGCTCCATGGGACACCAGACCCAACTACTATAACCTCTTTTTTTAGTGGGTTGGTCCACCAGTGGATTGGTTGATTTAGTGAGTGTGAAACCTTAACTAATCCCTGGCATAAGAGAGATTACTCAAAGTATTATTGAAAGGACTCATTTTTTGTACTTCCATAGCTTGGATGGTAGGGAATTACTTAAGCACTTGCTCCTAATTTCCTTTCTTCATACAATTTTCTTAGAGTATTTTTTTTACTAAACATTTTATTAAGATGTAAAGTAAAATACAAAGCAAATAGTAAGATACAAGGGGGAAGAAAAAGGGAGAAGAAAGGGAGGAAAAAGGAGGAATAATGAAAAAAAAAGATTGACTTCCGACTTCCCCTGTTGCAGTAGAATAAAGCATTAACGTCAAGCCTCAACTTTTTATTTTTTCGCAATAGTAAAAACTAGCCATTTCTGTAACAACAAATCAAATCAATCTAATCAGTGAAACCCAAAATCAAAGTTTCATTTTTTTCCACCTCAAGTACAAAGTCCAGAAGCGGGCTCCATGTAGAAATGAAGGTACTTGTATTCTTTTCTTTAATCAAAACAGTCAATTTTGCCATCTCTGCCAGCTGGCAGAGATTTTCTTAGAGTAATTTATAGCTTTCACACCAATCCCCATGGCTAACCCCCTTTCTCAAACTCCAATTCTTCAACAGCATTTATCCAACAACTGCATTTTCATTGTATAACCCTGAATGATCACTACATGGCAACCAAGAGAGACAAAAACTCTTTGCTGCCATCTAGTGGTTGATATGTTAGTCAACTGGTTGACCTGTACTTTCAAGTAATTTAAAAAAAAAACCAGTCAATAACACCACAGGAAAGAAATAGGGAGGAGTGTATGGAGTACAGTAATCAGAGTGTTGTGCATATCCATTGGAGGAGGCTTTTCATATGATGGATGATGTTGGGGAAGCTTGGATGTCAATCAAGAAAACAGCTTATCACAGTCCTTAGGATGTTGCCCATTAAAGCTATATGGACAGCAGTTCCATAAGGGCATGTGTAGGGGCAGCAAGATTTAGCACAGCATGATTTCCTGCTGGCTCAGGGACAGGAATACAGCAAAACAATTGGGTGGTTGTGGCCTTGGCATTGGAGAGAGGTTAGTCAGAGGACATTGCCAATTTAAAGACTTGAAATAACTAATAGCAGGAACAATACATGTTTTTCCAGGATGACAAAGAAAAAAACCCAGATCTTAGAAGGGCAAGCAGAACATCTCCAGTCCAACTGATCATGGATAAACGTACACGATACTCTAATATCCATGATAACTTTCATGTTGCCCACAGAAGTATGTTTGTGATGCATGTTGCTCATGGATTAATGGATGGCCAACCTTTCCCTAAATCTCACATTTTGAATCCGAAACAGCACAACTGGCCCAGTGGCTCTTACCTTTCAGGATGGTCATGTTGATCTGAGGCACGGGGTAATACATGGGATGTGCTGCAGGAGGATCACAGCAGCGAACACACTCCGACCTTCCTGGCTGCTTGCTGTGTCTCTGATAGCCATATTCAGTTCTGGGAGGCAGGAACAGCATAGACAGAGTGGTCAAAGGGCCAGAACTGGGAAAGGAGACTCAGCCCCTGAGTTTTACTACTATAAGCCCATCCTATTCCCCAATAGCATTGTTTTACAAAATATGAAAAGTTAAATGTAGTTGACAGGAATTATTGAGAGCCCTGCCTGGACAACTTATGGGCAGCAATCAGCAAATCCAATCCCAAGAAACTAGGACCTAGCACAGTTGTCTTCCCCAATCCTGCAAACTTGAACCCAGACTTTAAGCCAAGATATAATAATTAAATGTGCAAGTAGGTCACTGCCTCCAACTTAAGCACCAGAGAGCAAAATGGCAGAGAAATGGAATATTATGTGAAAGAATACCTTGGGAGTAGAGGTATGTTTGGATTATAATTATAATTCAATCCAAACTGTGGCAGGTGTCCTTTGGCAGAACCCAAGAACTGTTGAGGAAAAACTTTAGTCTGCATTCATTTAACTATTAAAACATCCAAGGAATAAGTCCTTGTTGAAATGGTCGAGGTACTTGTACTTCAAAACTTTGGTACCTAGTGTATCTTGGAATCTTGACTATTTATGAAACTATAAGTGCTTAGTACCAGTTTTTGATCCAGGATTGTGTGATTACAGCTTTTGAATTGTCATTTGAAAACTGGGATAGTTTTTTATTACTCCAATTCAAGACAAAGCCAGCTTTCAACTGACTTGATCAGTTTACAGTGAGATTCAAAATCATTTATGTTATTTTTTTTTCATTATAGTTACCATGATTCCAGTCCCAATCATTTAATTTGTTATGACTGAGAAAAATATGTGTATCCTATAGACCAGGGCTTTTCAACCGGTGGTACACATACCACTGGTGGTACTTTAGCATCTGGCAGGTGGTATGCGACCCCTAGCCAAGTGTAATGGGGGCGAGAACAAGCTAAAGCGGCATCGCGCAGGCCTGGAGAAGATCAGCTGGAGCCACAGGGCTTGGCAGAAGCCCCAGGATCTGCGTGCGTGGCTGCATGCTGGTTGGAGTTTCCAGTGCACCTGGAAAAGGAGGAGGAGAAGGGGGGAGAGAGGAAAAGCTATAAAAGGAGCAGGTTTTGGCGGGCGAGAGAAAAACACACACGGAGAAAGAGAGAATAGAAGAGGCTTTTGTTAGCAAAGAGGTGAGGAGAGAGAGAGAGTGGCCTTTGCAAGCAAAGGGTGAGTGAAAGAGTGAGAAAGAAGTTTGTGCGAGCAACATGTGAGTGAATGAGAGCGAGAGAAAAGCTTTTACGAGCAACGTGTGAGGGAAAGAGCGATAGAGAAGCTTTTGCGAGCAACGTGTGAGTGAATGAGAGCAAACGAGAGGCTTTTGCTAGCAAAGGGTGAGGGGAGGGTTGTGAAAAAGAAAAGAAAAGGCATTGGCTTCTGAGTTCCACTGTTGCAGTAGGAAGGAAGCATTAACACTGAACCTTAACTTTTTACTTTTCCATAATATTATAAACTAGCCATTTCTATAACAACAAATGAATCTAACCAGTAAAGCCCAAACTCCCCCCTTTTTTTAGTCATCAAGTTTTTGACACCTTGCTAAGCACTGGTGGTACTCGAATATTGTCATATCCTAAAAGTGGTACAATCTGTGAAAAGGTTGAAAAGCCCTGCTGTAGACAAACTCTCCAGCTACTTCCAGAATGATATGTATGAGGATGCTATAGGATTGCCTAATAGAAACAAGGCTACACATTCTTTTAATTAAACAAGAGAGCCATTTTGGTGTGGTGGTTAAAGTACTGGAGTAGAAACCAGGAGATGGGAGATCAAGTCCTCACTTAGGCATGGGAACTGGATGGGTGATTTTGGGCCAGTTGCTGCCACCAAATAGGGTTGTTGTTGGGAAAATAGGAGGCGGGAGCATTATGTTGGCTGTCTTGAATTGTATAAAATAAAGGTATAATAAAATGATAATAAAGAAAAGATTGTCACAAAGTACCTTCTTATAGGTGTAATTTAATACATTTAGCAATAATTTATCAGCTGGAAAGATATTTAAGCATGGCAAACAAACAAACAAAAACCCTTGCAACCTTCCCATCATTTTCCTCCTCTTTTTTCTTATAAAAACAACAATCTATTAAGGATGAGAAAAACTGAAAAAGTGGACAAAAAGAAAAACAAGGGAGGGGACGATTGTAAATTAAAGCCATCAACATATCGCCTCCGTTCAATAAATTTCTTATCTATAATAACTGCAGCATAGAAGTTCATCTACTTACATTTTTTCATTAATGAACTTTAGGGAAATTTAGCCCCTGCTATAGAAATACAAAAGGTTGCTAGCATGACTATCCATTTTCCCAAGTCTCTGTTCTATACATTTTGTTGCAAAGTAAAAACCAGGATGTGGCATTAGAAATCATGGCCTTGGATAAGACATGGCCAGTGACCTGAACCAATGTGTACAATGGGGTTTGCCAGGTTTTTCAGTTGTTGTGCTAAACAACTAGTGAAGAAAGGCTCTAAATACATCTATGTTGTATAAGCTACCTGAGGAGGACACCTGAAACATTATTTGCTTGTTAGAAGAATATGCCACCTTTCTTCTAAGACCTTCTTTAATTCCCCCCCCCCACTACAACCCTGTGAAGCTGAAAAAGAGTAAACTGCTCCAGAGTCATCCAGTGAGATTCCTTGCAGAAAACAGACTTGAATTTGAGTCTTCCCATAGTCCAAAACCTTCACCTCTAGACTCCTTCACATTGCACGGGCTTGCAAAGCAGAGATTTGGTGAAACACTGACAGGGATGATTTGGGAATGGGGAAGGGAGAATAGTAAGGCCATTAGCATGGCGAGGTTCCCTCCTCATCCCAGATCTTTTTATGAAGATGTGCATTGTGATAGAATAGACAAAATACAGGAAACCAGAAGTTGCCTTCAAGCTTTAAGTTTTTATTCAGCTGAACAAAGACGGGCTTCTCTAAAAAGAAAACCCCAAATATCAGAAAAGCCTTATTTTTATACCTTCTTTGATTACATAAGCAATTCACCCGGCAAAGCTGACACATATAAGATAAAGACTTCCCCCTTTAAGGCTGGCACACTGTAGATAAGAAGGAAGAAAGCAGAAGTAACTAGAAATGTTCCCTTTTGGGTGTTCCCCCAAGATACCATATGTTCCTTTTTGGATGGTTTAGGTGTTTCCCTAAGACACCATATGTTCCCAGGCGAGTTAGGATATTGGGTGTTTCCTTTGCTGTCCTTTTATGACCCCGCATTCATGGTTCTGCAAGTAGCCAGAGAGAGCGGGGCCATCTGCACGTATTCACAATTGATACTCTCCCCTAAGTCTGGGTCAACAATTATAGCTATTGTATACATTATAACAATCAAACAAAGAAATTCTAGCTCTCAGTTCCTCCCCAGATTCATTAAAAATGAAATAGAATAGACATTTTATGGAGGTGGGAGTGGAAACAGATCATTGATTGACCAGTCTGAAAAGACGACTTATATGAGGAAATAGAAGGGGAACTTATCAAATTTGCAGACGATACTAAGCTGGCAGGAATAGCCAACACCCTGCAACCCAAACCCCACTTATTTATCGTCGGGTGCCGGGTGGGTGTGGCCCACTGGGTGGGTGTGGCTGCAGTAGTCATGACAGACTGGGTGGGCATGGCCGGGGTGGGCATGGCCACCTCGATGTTGCTTATGGGGAGGGATGCCTGTGGGGGCCGGGCAGGGTTGAGGGAGATCCAGTGGATCTCTGGCAGGTGGGATGGTGGGCAGGAGGCTCATCCTGTAGGGTGAGGTGAGGCAGGGGGCAGAGCAGGGGTGCCATTGCTGCAGGGCAAGGCAAGGTGAGGCAGGGGCCGGGGCGGCTGCTGCCTGACACCATCGAGCGCATGGGGGCCAACTGTGTCCATCAGCAACCACAACCTGCCAGTTCCTCAACCGGTGCACTCTGGGGCTCTGCAGACCATTGCGAATACTGGGCCAGCCCTCCAGCTACAGGCGAAGAAGGGGAGGGGGGATCTAGTATACCGATTTCTTACCACTGCCCGGCTTGTTCCGCAGCATTGGGCAGAAGGCGGCAAATGGCTGGTTTCGGCGTGACGTGGCTGTTTGCCACTGGCCGTGGTCATTTGCCGCCTTCCACGTCGCACCCAATGCCGCTGCCATAAGGCCGCGGAACAAGCCAGGCGGAGGTAAGGAACCGGTGTACCGATTCCTTACCTCCACCCGGCTTGTTCCATGGCCTCATGGCAGCGGCATTGGTCAGGAGGCGGCAAATGGCCAGTTTCAGTGTGATGTGGCTGTTTCCTACCTCGCCTATTGAGCCCAATGCTGCTGCAATGCAGCTCGGCCGTGGAACAAGCGGGGCAGTTTCCCCCCTCACCTGCCCATTCAGCTACAACTTTGGTGGCTCTGTAGGCAGAGCAGCGAAGTTCTCTTCTCTGACAGAGAAGAGAATTTTGCAGCTCTGCCTACAGAGCCACCAAAGCAGCAGGTGGAGTGCTGGAGACTCCTGAAGGGAGGGCGCTGAAGTGGGCGGTCGGGCCATTGGCAAGAGCAATGCAGTTGAGCGGAAAGCGGCTTCGGAACAAGCGGGGCAGGTAAGGAAAGAAATCCTCGCTCCCCCCCAAAATTGCCTTTCTTTCCTTACCTGACTCCCAGCCCCGTGCCGTTTCTCCTTCGCTATCCGCCACTGCCACGTGAAAAGAAATAAAGGGTTTTTTGGGGGGGAAAGGTCAATCAATTCCAACTTGTCGTGAAAGATCGCGAAGTTGGAATTGATTGATTGACCTTACCTGCCCTGCTTGTCCTGAGGCCATTTTCCGCTCAAAGAATACAGAGGCACTCAACATTTCTGTACCATTTTCTAGGAATGATCAGGCCAAATTAAGACTGGATGGAGGCTGGACAGCAAAGGAGTTCATTGGTGTGGATGCTAGCGTTAACAAACACGGCCCTTTCCAGTACAGAGATGCCTAGAGAATGTTCACTCTGATTAAACAGGATCCTTAATTGTGTTCCTATGATTCAACCATTAAGGATTTTTGCAGTCATTTGCACCTCCTCCAGAGCCATTTGCACCCAGCAGCCTCTGGCTTAATTTAAAGTGGGACAGAGTGAGTTAATTGTGCATAAACTGCACATAGAAGATGCACATTAATGAAGTTAATTGGGCATTGAAGTACAACCATGAAGTGTTTTCTTCAACTGTCAGCAGTTCTGGTTAAAAGTTTTACAGTTCTGAACAGCTGACCAGATATGTGGTCTATTTAAACATGGTCCCTTGTGATCAGCTTCCGTTATTCAAGAGAGCAGGCATGTGTGTGTGTTTGTGTGTGTTATTTATGACATATTGGTTTTATTGTAATGACTCACCTAGACGTATGACCCCAGAGTGGTGGCCGCGTGGGCACTCCGGGCCTCTCTTCCGCCTCTTTCTCATTTCCTGAAGCCTGGAATAGTAGGCAGATAAGCCAAAAAGTACTGTGTGCCAGCGGTCCCTTCATGGCGTTGTGTCCTGTTGGAGAAAACAGGCCGATAAAACTGCTGGAGATGCTCAAGAGGCAGGAAATTAACTTCCTTGCTCACCATTCATTTCTGCTGATTCTCTGCCAATGCATAGGAAATAGAGCCTCCCTTCCAGAGCAATATTCAATCAAAAGCACTAGAAATACCAGTTGTGAGGCTTTGTTTGTACTGCTGCACTCAAAGGATAACGGAAGATTCTTGTTATTGTACTATCCCAAATTGTATGATTATCACAGGGCTGCTGGTGGAATTCTCTGGGCTTGTGATGCTGGGGGATTTCAATCTGCCTTCTTCAAACGAAGGGTCAGAGATAGACTAGTAATTCATGGCCACCATGAGAATGTCCAGATCACTGAGGACCTGGCTCATAAAGGAGAGGGAGGACCTATACCAGACATGTCAAACTCGCGACGTCACGTGATGTCATGCGACATATCGGAGCTTTTTTGCCATTGCCGGCAATGGGGTGGGCACGGCTCCGGTATGATGAAACCGGCCCGCGGGCCGGCAGTTTGACACCCCTGACCTATACGATCACTCTAGGTGTCTAACAGAAGCATTCAGTTTCCAGAATACAGTTAGGGAGTTTCCTGAGATTCTGACTGGTAGTTCTGTTGAAGCTTTAGTCACCTGCTGGAATGAGGCAGATAAAACCTTGGAAAGGATTGTGCCTATGCAGTCTCTCCCTGTTTGTCAATCCAGGGGGAAATCCTTAAGTTTACTGAAGAGCTCTGGGAGATGAACTGACTTAGAGGAAGCCTAGAGCATTACTGGCAGAAGACTGAGTGAATCTGACCAAACATGAATAGCAACCCACATTCAAACCTACACTGTAGTGGTAAAAGTATCAAGTCATGATCATTTCTCTGCTTGTGTTGTCATACAGCAACCACTCTCAAAATAATATGGACCCTTTTAGGGAAAGATTAGTAGAAGACCATCTGCAAAAACACTGTGAATAATTTTCTAGACTTCTGCTGGACAAAACCAGTCTGAGGGCTCAAATACCAGCTGGACAACTGCTCCCAAGATGAGACTGTGTCTTGTGAGGTTATCTGGAATGAGTTTAAATCTACTGGTCTAGAGAAAGCAGACAAGATTCTCTGCGATATCAACTCTGCCATTTAGACTCTGGATCCCTATTCTTTCTAGTTGCGAATGCTTCCAAACTGGTGGCAGGAGGCTTAGTCAGAGTGGTGGTGAATCCAACTTTTGAAAAAGAACTACTACCAGAGCTGGTGATAGAACTTATTTTCAAGAAATCATCACTTGACCAAATACTAATATTACATAACCATCATTGAGTGTCCAAGCTTTCTTTCATAGATAAAATTGTTGAGAAGGGTAGTAGGAAAAATGAGCTGAGAGTCACTGCGGTTAAAATATGACTGGGGTGGGGGAGAGGGATGGTTCAGCCCACTTCCTCATCATCCATTCTTTTCCTCCTGCGAATTGCTTTTCCTCTACCTCTTTGCTGTGGAAAAAGGGAAGCTGGACATTCCAGACACATGCTTCCTAAATAACTTTCCTACAAAATGAGAAAAAAGACTCCTGAGAAAATTGAGATGGGTGTTTTTCTCCCACACATTGTTCTGCTCTAAAAATCTGTTAGAAAAACTGTGTCTGGGACATTTCAATGCAATAATGAAATTCACTCCCTCTTAATTGCCTTTCAGCCGAGTCTTTCAAGGCAAAATACATAGCAATGCACATAGCAGTATACAAATGTGCAGAGATTGAAAGCTTGCCCACCCTTAGTCTATAATAAGCCAAGACAAAATAGTACCAGACAAAATTGACATTTCCTAAAATCTGTGGTCAAAAGGCCCCAAGAAATACAGAATAACGGAGTTGGAAGGGACCTTAGAGGTCTTCTAGTTCAACCTACTGTTCAGGCAGGAAACCCTATACCATTTCAGACAAATGGTTGTCCAACCGCTTCTTAAAAACCTCAAAGGGTTTGGCATACCCACAACTTCTGGAGGCAAGTCATTCCACTGATTGTTTTAACTGTCAGGAAATTCCTCCTTTGTTCTAGGTTAGATCTCTCTTTGATAAGTATCCATCCATTGCTTCTTGTCCTGCCTTCAGTGCTTTGGAGAATAGGTTGAACCCCGCTTCTTTGTCTCAGCCCCTGAGATATTGGAACACTGTTATCATGTCACCCGTAGTCCTTCTTTTCATTAAACTAGACCAGGGATAGGCAACCTCGGCTCTTTTATGACTCATGGACTTCAACTCCCACAATTCCTGAGTCAGCTATGCTGACTCAGGAATTCTGGGAGTTGAAGTCCATGAGTCATAAAAGAGCCGAGGTTACCTACCCCTGAACTAGACATACCCAATTCCTGCAACCGTTCTTCATATGTTTTAGCCTCCAGTCCCCTAATCATCTTTTTTGCTCATCTCTGCACTCTTTCTAGAGGCTCAATATCTTTTTTATGCCACACAGCTAGCTCAAGATCTGGATCTACCAGATTTTCATGGAAATAGTGGTATCTCTTAAGAAAAAGAATAACATGGCATGTTGTCAAAGGAACACAACTGTAGTCCACTGCAAATAGAAGTCACACTTTTATAGGCCACATTTACACAAGCAAGCTCAGGTGTACTTCAGTCATCAATATATAAATTTGTAAATACTCTCATATTGATTAAGGAACATACCATTAACTGTATACTGTAATGCATTGATGATCAGAGTTAGCGATAACTGTTGTTTTGAAAGTTGTCTTCTAAGAATTTCCCAAAATTGAGGCTTTGAGGATAATGAAATGTTAGTCTTAATATAAAACTACAATTTTTCTGGCTGCTTATATGGACATCAGATTAACTAAATCATCGTAAAACATTAACATACATTCTCATGCCGTTTAAATGGTACTGTTCAGCTACTATGCATGCTTGGTGTACTTTGCACACACATATCATTTATGTCCTTACAGGGCAAAATATCACAAATGTTTTTTTTTAAGGTGCACTACACAGTTTACTCATTGTATAGCTTAGAACAACTTTTCTTACACATATCCTCACTGTATGACTAATCTTACACATGGGGACTGCATACTATGCAAAAATGCAGATAGGCATATGAACTGCAACTAGGAAATCAAGTCACCAGCAGGAAGAAAAAGTAAGAAGTATCCAATCCGAAAATGCATGCTTGTAAAATAAAGAAAATCCTGGCCATGAAATGGATTTGCAGAGGAAAGCACATGTGTCATTTATGCAAAGCCCTGATATGTGAGTAAGGTTTTCACATATTTAATTAACACCATTACTTCCTATTGTATTTCACCATGAAATTCAAAGAAGCAAAGAGTAGGTTCCCAGGGAGTTAATTCTCATTAATTTCAACAGGGAGGCTTTATCTGATGCCCCGAGAGCAGCATATATTAATTGGTGCAATTGAAAAAGTCTGCATATAGGTTTACAAGCTTCCATATACGGTAGCATCCTACGCAGAGGGGGAACCTGTTTCTTAGTAGCTTCTTCAAATTTCTCTTTCTCTGGACCGAACCCATCATAATGAGATGTGCTGTAAGAACTTCTTTGCTTGGCAGATGTTAAGTGGCAATGGTTATGACTGAGAAAGAGCTCTTGTTTGACCACCTTTCATAATTAATGGGATTATATTCAACTTCCATTGTACTTTCCTAAAGCCACTTGTCCCAAAGCCTTGGAATGCTGAAAACAAGAAATCTGAATAGATATACTGTGTCCATCTCTCATTCTGCCCTCAAAGTCTCCCACAAAATGTATGCCAGCAGTACTGCAGCAAATGGAATATCTAATTGATCTTGGAGAAAGAGAAAATCATCCCCATAAATATATGCTTGTCAAATAGCTGCTGTCTATTAAAAAGATCTGTATACATGCAAAGAGAGACAAGATGGGACAGGACAGCACCCAACAGGCCTGACCAATGTTGACTTGCATGGAGAGAAGTCCAGAAGTGCATACAAGGATGTGTTCTCAGACTGTGTTTTGTTTTTTCCGGTTCCCTCTGGCAACTTGCTATCTCCCAAGGGTCTGCTATAGCAGCCAGTAGTGCCTGGGAATATAAAGGCATCACGGCCTGCAAGAAAAATCTTCTCAGCCTTAGCAACTTTTAATACTCTGGCAAACACAGAAAGGACATTTGGGGTGAAGCAGCTACATTTCAGGAACTGTGTTGATAGGCATCAAATTCAAAGGGACAATTACTGTATCCCTTCCCCATGGCAGGGCATCTATTATGCATCCATGACTGCCCCAGCTGGTCCTCAGTTGACAATTCCTCAAAAGCAGAATTTGTATAAAACTAGAGGATGAGACTTGTCTGCTGTAAATGTGAACCTTGAATCACTCTGTACATCTACCTTACATAGAGATCTCTGACCAACAAAGTTACATAGTAGAATGGAGAGAGAGAAAAGCAACCTACCGGTATCTGTTATTGTAACAGAAGGCAGGCACTCCAGGCAGATCCCAGGCTATTTCCACCCTCCGGAGCATTTAAAGCATCACTGCCCAAGCTTTGCAGTGCATTCCATAAGAAGGACGCTCAAGAAATAACTCCAGGCAGAGTTGGCCATTCATCCCCCCTGTTCAGATTAATGTTGTCCCTTTACCTGCATGGTTTCAAACAGTTTTAAGTACCTACCCTTGGCACTGCCCAACTTGTTGGCACCTACCTTGGGGATAGGATGATAGGCTGCCACAGCCACTGCTTGTGTTTGTCTTTGGACGTCTACAGCATCCCCCTCCACGTAAATACTGCCCCTCCCTGTGAGAAGGCAAGAGAGGAGAGCCCAGCAGTTCCGCCTCTAGTCTTCAGATCTCAGGCGCCAAGCAGAAAGACGGTTTCTGGAAAACGGAGAGAGAGAAAGGGAAAGAAAGGGGCAGACACTGCAAGCCGCCAGCCCTCCTCCCTCAGTTGTGAGCACAGCTGCCATTAACCATATGTATGCCCAGCACCCACAGCTGAGAGAAAGAAGACAGGTTTCCTCTGCCAGAAAGTATCTCCAGATGTTAGGGACCCAGAGCCAAGAAGTGAAACATGGAAAGAAAGGAAAGGTAGTGTCACTGTTCACAGAAGTGGGGGAAAGGCACTTCTGAAGCCAAGGAGTCAGATACTATGATTCCTTTAGTGCTGTCTCTCTATATTATTACATAATCACTACTTTTCCCTGTTTTTCAAATGTGTCTGGCTTATTTGCTACAAGCAGCAGCATGTAAGTGGAGATAAGCAACATGCTTATCTCTACCAAGCAGATTCCTAGCAAGATCACCCTTTGCTTCAAGCTGCCAGCTCAGAACTCTTTCTCCCTTCTCTCCCGTTGATCCCAAATTTGCTTCTTTTACATACTGAATATAAATGTGAGTCAATGACCGATAAACATCCGCTGAATAATAAACTTGTACATCGTGATGAGGTTGGAAACTTGGCTTTTATCTGCACCCTGTAGACGTTTTGCTTCTTTTGACTAGTTAACTTCAGACAGTCAATGCTTTCTTAGTCTCGGGGGTCTACATAAATTACCCCAATACTAATACTTATAGCTAATTTAGTTGAAAGACTTTGTACAAATGGATGAAAAACCAAAAATGTACAAAGACACAGTAAGAAATAGAGACATCCCATCAGCTCTGCTATCAGCTAGCTCCTCCTATCCTTGACTTGTTCTCATTCCAGCTGGTCATAATTGAGACTCCTGTATGGTTTTAAGAACTGTTGGTCTGGATTTGGTTATTTTGTTTGTTTTCCCTCCTCAACCTTTTTTTTCTTTTGGTGTCATGACTTTTACATTATAAGCCTGAAGGGCGGAACACTTCATTTTATAAATCACATGCAAGGAACTCTGGGAGACTTTTCCGCAGACATAAAGGGGTTGAGGGAAATATAAAAAGTAAGTCAGAAAATGTGCTGGGAACCAAAATTAGGATAATATAGGAAAACACTAGAAAAACAGAATGTCAGAATCTGATGGAGGGTCACGTTGGTTGTCCTCAATCTGCCAGGAAAAACATAAAAAGCAAGGAATCCTCTGCAAGCAGCCAGCCTCAACTAACCCAGTCTGAGAGAAGGAAAGGGAGCAAACAACCTCCTAATTGTTTCCTTTTGGTCTTGGGCACAAATATACCAAGCCAGCATCTTCTTCACCCAGTCCTCTGTGGGAAGTCAGAAACCCCCCCCCCCCCCCGGAGAAGGAAATATTAAAAGGGGCAGAAAAATATATTTTTCCTCAAAGGGATTTTTTTAAAAGCAGAAACCAAATCTCTCTGGCCTCAAATCTCTGCCCCAAGCAAGAGCCAGTCCTATACAAATGCAGATGTAAAACCATCAGGAAGGTTGAAGCCAGGGAACTCAAGAAGACAAAGAAACTCTTAAGAGTCATTAGCCCAGCCCCAGGGAAGCAGGAGATGACTTTTGAGACATAATAGGACTGAACCACAGATACTAAGGCCTAGAAAAGCACTCAGACTCAGTTCAAAGTTCATGCCACAGGAAGAGGAAACTATTCCAAACAAAAAGCTAGAGAGGGTATAAAGCTACTGCCCATGTGCTCAGCCCTTCTCTCCTCTGCTCTTTCCTGCAAGAACCATCTTTCTGCTTCTTCAATAAACTGTAACCATCTTCCCAAAGCAGTCACCATGTTGCTTATTTATTCCCGGCTTGGATGAACCAGGATGAAGACTTACTTCTAACACCTCATTTCCTCATCTTGTTCTCATTTCCAAGGGCTCATCCCATTGACTAAAGATACTTTTAGCACAGCTTCTATAAGCCTGGTTATTTCCTCTCACCTCCATCACCCCCCCACCAAAACAGGAGCATTTTTTAAAAAAATGCCTTATACTACCTCTTAGCCACTTAGTCCAGCATTGCCTATTGAGGTTAATGATGGTTTTAGCTGGTGGCAGGAATTTCCCCTTATTGCCTTATCTACTTCCAGGCTTCTTCTAAGACAGTGTTTCTTAAAGTGTGGTCCTAGGAGCTCTGGGGATCCCCTAAGACTTTCTCATGGGTCTACAAAATCAAATTATTTGCCAGTCTAAGTTGAAAAATAATACAATGTTAAAATCCAATTAAATAATTGTGAGGTGTGCTCTGCAGGTTCTGAGGTTTTGCTTGATAAAAAATATAGGAAACCAGAAGTTGCCTTCAAGCTTTACGTTTTTATTCAGCTGAACAAAGACGGGCTTCTCTAAAAAAAGAAAAAGCCTCAAATATCAGTAAAGCCTTATTTTTATATCTTCTTTGATTACATTAAGGTGACCAACCATCCTCCTTTAGGGAGGACAGTCCTCCTTTTGTGAGTTCTGTCCTCCCTCGAAAAGTGTCCTCCTACATGTCCTCCTTTTCTATATTTGAAGACTAATCTGCAGGGCTTTTTTTCTCTCATAGAACGCTCAGAACGGTGTTCCAGCACCTTTTTTTGATGGGTTTTTTTTTTCAACTTTTGCATGAGCTGTGCTACCCCCCCTATTGGCTTTCGAAAGCCAATAGGAATTGCTGCTGAGCGCGCCAAAACACCCGGCTGGCAAACTTTGCACATGTAAGTTGTCTGCAGTGAAGGCGAATTGGCAGGAACTTTGCACCCCTCCCTGCTACCTAACTACACCATCTCCTAGTTAGTCCCAAAGATACCTGGAGAAGACTGGAGAGGCGATGCCATGGTAACTTTCTCTTGATCTTCGGCCCTGCTAAGGCAATAAT